GCCAAGATTTCTGCTTAGAGTTTCGGATTTTTTGCAGTTTGGGGGGCGGGTGTCTGCTCCACAAGCATCGGCCACTGTGACCTTGAAACCCAAAGATAGTTTCTTGCCTTCTTTATAGATATATAAATATTCATCAAATAATAGTATCGATAAATAAAATTGAAATATTAATATAAATATTTTATTCTATATTTTGATTTAATTTTAGTTAAATATATATAAGATTTCTCTTATTATGGAGCTCTAAGTCTAAATATTTAAAAAATCAATTTAAAATAACACTCTATATTAATATAAAAATCAAAAGGCGACGCAAGTAGCTCATTTGCCCAGAAGCATCAATTAAAAAAGAATCGCGATAAAAGAATCAATAAAATCTATGAGATTCGAATTCTCCAAGCTCCCCTCTTATATTTTAAAGAGAGAGACGAAGAAGAAGCGATAATAATACAAGAAAGAGATTAAAATATATTTATGAATATTTTCAATATTTCATGAAGATATTTCGTATATAAATTTCAAATTCTAATTTTTAGTTTTTTAAAATAAATATTATTATTATCTTTTTAATTTATAATAATAGAAAAATTAGAGAATTCGTATAGAAATTAAATATATATTATCTAATAACCTTATTTATGAATAACTAATGAAAAATATTGAAATTAATTTCTTCTAATCAAAATTTATAATAAATAGAATTTTTTAAATTTATTTTTTATAAGAATTAATCTTTTTTGGATTAAATTTATAAAATCTAATAAAAAAATAAAATCAAAGAGATAAATACGCAAATAGAACGCATAGACCTCAAATAAATATATAGATAGAAATTCAGATAATTATTCAGAAAGACGATAAGTAAATTCCTAAATAGATATTCAAGCAGACTTCCAGTCAGATTCATAGACGGACCTTTAAAGAAACGCACTAATAGATGCACAAGAAACACAAACATATAAACGCACAGACAGACGCACAGACCCCAGACAGACGTACAGACAGACGCACAGACAGACGCACAGACAGACGCACAGGCAGACATATAGACAGACACGCAGAGAGACGCACAGTGAGACACACAAGCAGACGCACAAACAGACACACAGACAGACACACAAAGAAACGCACAGACAGACGCACAAAAGAAACACAGATGCACAGAGAGACGCACAGAGAGACGCACAAAGAGGCGCACAGAGAGACGCACAAAGAGGCGCACAGAGAGACGAAGGAAAGGACAGGACAGGACAGGACAGGATAGGACAGGACGGGACGGGACGGGACGGGATGGGACGGGACGGGACGGGACGGGACGGGACGGGACGGGACGGGACGGGACAGGACAGGACAGGACAGACACAAACACACACTCAGAGACACACGCACACACACACACAAACACACACAGAGACACACATGCACACACACACAGCGAGATACACAGAGTCGTCAGAGAGACACCGAGACGCACCTGCATTCAGGAAGCACGGCACTGGAGCTCGCGGTACTAAGTTTCGGATGTCCCAAAAATTTCGGATTTTGTTTAAACGCGGGCATGCCTGCCGAAAATTTCGGAAATTTTATTACCGGGAGCATGTCCCCCTGAAGCTACCAAAAATTCTGAAATCTTAATACCGCGAGATTTCCTGAAGCTACCAAAATTTCTGATCTTTTAGCACCGGGAGAAGAAGTGCTCTCGGCACTAAAATTTCCGCGAGTACCGCGAGACAGGCATGCAAGTGGCTTTCAAGAGGAAATGCGACAAAGGGCGAGGTTACACGGGCTCACCTGTGCGCATAAAAGAACGGACGCGACCAGCACGACACCGTTTCATTAGAGAATTATCTTCATATTAATGATCTAAGATGTATATATTTGTTATTGTTGATTTCTGTTTGCCCCGGTCTGTCTATGCATGTTAAGCACCCCTGCTTCCGCCGGAGTCGAATACCCAGCAAGTCTTCGAAGTTCATATTCGAAATCATGTCATACAAAATATGCAGGTCCAATCCGACTCCAGCAATCCCTATTCAGACACCCCTTCAAATTTCAGTGGGCTGGGCTACCCCTAACAGGTAAAGCCCCTGCTTCCACTCGCAACCTCAAATTAATGATCTGCTTGCCTCAGGATCCGTGGCTGCAGCTTCATGCAAGCCTGAATCGAGCTGGAACCGGCTGCCTCCGCGATCAGAAGACCTGCACAGCACAAGTAGTTCCTTCGAAAGCTTCAGGATCTCTTGACAGCACTGACGGTGCCAAGATTTCTGCTTAGAGTTTCGG